TACATGAGCTGGGGGGAGTTTGGCTGGGAAAGTCACAGTTATATGCTACAATCTGAAGCCTTGGGATTTCAGAGTGAGTTTTACCTCGCCTTTAGCAGCTTTTCAGAAAGGAAAATGATCCTGGACTTTTTATTGGGATACTTGAGCTGGACGTTGACCCCGTCCCTGTGCCAATTCACAAGACCTTCCAGCTCTGATGGTCTTTAAAAAGTGCTAACCTCTCTCCCTGTTGCATTCCAGGTGATTAGCCCCGATGAGATTTATAATCTAATAAACCTTTCGGAAGGGTGCTCTCCTTCTGCCCCCCACCGTGGAAGACTGGCAGCGGTGGCAATTTAATCCAAGCAAAAGGTCACACTGGCAAGTGTGTATTGGGGGAGGATTTTTCATAACCGTTGCCCTGTGTTAACGTCTTCGGTGCCTACCACATCTGAGGGCAAACTGAAAAGGCTGCCAACTTGGGCTTTGGGAGTTAAGCATCTCTTAGAACAGTGGTTCTCAACCTTTTTAATGCCGCGACCCCCAACCGGTCGTAAGTCGAGGACTACTCAACCGGTCGTAAGTCGAGGACTACTCAACTGGTGCAGCACCGTTGGCAGAATGGGACTATTGGCGGGCTCAGCAGGACAGAGACAGCCTGGACAATTCCTATGGGCTTTGGAAAGCCAATAGAATTAGACTCTATTCAAGAGAGTCTATTCTATTGGCTTTCAAAAGCCAACAGAATAAAAGGGAGTAGCATAGCTCAGGAAAAGGGGGGAAAAAATGGCGGACTGCGTTGTTTGGCGACCCCCGTGAAATGGTCGTTCGATCCCAAATGGGGTCCCGACCCACAGGTTGAGAACCACTGTCTTAGAACAAATTTAAAGACAGGGGGCTTTACTCCAAATTGGGTTATCAGTTATGAGATTTTTAGAAAAGCCCACTCTTTGCATTCATGGTCCATTTGGCTATGATCTATCCGATCCATACGTCTTTTCCAGGTTTCCAGAACCAAAGATTCACTTAAGAACCACATGACCACTTAACAGCTGTGATGATTCACAACAACTGTGGCAAGAAAAATGGGGCAAAAGTACCCTTAACAGCTGTCTCACTTAGCAACATAAATTTGGGGCTCAATTGAGAGGGTCCACCTATTTTCCAAAGCACCTGAAGGCAGGACAAGAAGCAATGGATGGAAACTAATCAAAGAGAGAAGCAACCTGGAACTGAGGAGAAATTTCCTGACAGTGAGGACAATTAACCAGTGGAACAACCAGCCTCCAGAAATTGTGAATGCTCCAACACTGGAAGTTTTTAAGAAGAGACTGGACAACCATTTATCTGAAATGGTATAGGGCAGAGGTCTTCAAACCTGGCCCTTTTATGACTTGTGGACTTCAATTCCCATAATTCCTCAGCTAGCATGCCAGGCTGAGGAATTCTGGGGGTTGAAGTCCACAAGTCTTAAAGTGGCCAAGTTTTGGAAACATTGCTTTAGGTCAGGGGTCTTCAAACTAGGCCCTTTTATGACTCGTGGACTTCAACTCCCAGAATTCCTGAGCCAGCATGGCTCAGCTTGGAAACCTCTACCTTTCCCCTCAGCGTGCCTGGCTGAGGGATTCTGGGGGTTGAAGTCCACAAGTCTTAAAGTGGCCAAGTTTTGGAAACATTGCTTTAGGTCAGGGGTCTTCAAACTAGGCCCTTTTATGACTCGTGGACTTCAACTCCCAGAATTCCTGAGCCAGCATGGCTCAGCTTGGAAACCTCTACCTTTCCCCTCAGCGTGCCTGGCTGAGGGATTCTGGGGGTTGAAGTCCACAAGTCATAAAAGGGCCAAGTTTGAAGACTCTGGTATAGGGTTTTCTGCCTGAGCAGGGGGTTGGTCTAGAAGACCTTTAAGGCAGTGGTTCTCAACCTTTCTAATGCCGTGACCCCATAATACAGTTCCCCATGTTGTGGTGACCCCCAAGTGGGTGTGGCCACCAATAAGAGGGAGTAGGACAGCTAGGGAAAAGGGAAAAAATGGCGGACAGCAGGGTTTGGTGACCCCCGTGAAATGGTCATTCGACCCCAAATGGGGTCCTGACCCACAGGTTGAGAACCACTGCTTTAAGGTCTCTTCCAACTCTATTATTATTATTGTTGTTGTTGCTGTTGTAAGTCGAAGACTGCCTGTAATTCAACAGGCTCAAATTGTATTAAATTATTTTCTTAACTTGAAAGTGGAAGGAAGTGAGCATATGGACCATTCATTTTACACCAATCATTAGAGGAACCACATAAATGAAAATTAGTACTGCAATATTTCATTGTGACCCAGTTCACACACAGTAAAAATCTTAGTTAATGCACTGAAAGGATTTCAAACAATTAATACAATTTGCGCATCATACTACACATAAATAACAACAGCGAAAACACACAGTTCACATTCAGGAATATTAATTCCCTTTGTTATATTTGGACTACATCTGCAATTTATTATTATTATTTTTAAGTAGTAAAAATATCTTCC